GGACCTTCGGCCACTGGGTGGGCGTGAAGGCTGCGCAGGTCACCGAGCAATACAGGCAGCGCCCAGACATCTTCTAGGCCATGCGCCATCTGACCCGTAGATGCTTTCAGCTGCCACACGTTCGTGCCGCACCTCTGATGCGCGGCCAAGAATATGTGGGCAAGTGGCTGAGCTGCGCCTGCAGCTTGGATATCTGTTGGTTTCCCATCGAATACCAGTCGACGTCGCCAACGGCGTCAAGGCGTCAACGGCGTCCAGTTCGACGCCCAATAGCTCATCGACGAGATTGGGAAGGACGTTCGCATCATTATGTTTATCCTGGGTGACGAGCCGTTACTGGCAGCAGCCGTTACGTGCGCCTGTTAGTGGGAGCGTTCGATGGCCGCGTCATCAAAGTTCCCGAGGACGCTTCCATCACCGCCGAGGGTGGTTCACCATCAACCCTGTCGGCTATGCCCAAGGAGACCGACAGCGACTTCTCAGGCCACGTCCAACATGGGATGCTGGCAGCCTGGCGCGATTTGGAGGGGGCGGAAGACCTGGCCCTGGCCCGGGCCTTCGAGGAGCTGAAGAGCGCCGACGGTCACCATAATATTCACACTGCCGCCGAGCACGCCGCGGCCAGACATGGCCGCAGGTCCCGCGAGTTGCCCCGGCGCCTCGAGACGCAGCGCCAGCGTCAGAGCATCCACTCGCAGCGCCACTACAACCTGCGCGGGGCCTCCTCGGACGACTACGCCGCGCTAGAGGGGGAGGGCGAAGGAAGAAGGCATGTGGAGTTGCATCTTGGTCCAGGGGCGCGCGAAGCATTTGTGAGTTCCAACGAGGAAGCATTCAGCGACTGTCGCTGGCACCCCCCGGACACCCGCTCTGATAATTTAGCTGTGCCGCCATTGAGACCGCGGTCGTCTAGCGCGACGCCGACCTTCCGTCCGAAGAAGAAGTGTCGAGATTGTCCAGGCCGCGGCGGCGTTCCTCGGAGAGCTCGCCACCTGGGTCAAGTGCAAGTGCGTTCCACCTTGAGCGGTCACCTTGAGCTCGACCGCTCAAGGGCCCCTGAAACGCGATTGACTCCAGACGCGCGTTCCAGTGGCAGCACCAGGAAGGACCCGGCGTCAAGACTTCCCCGATCATCCGGCGCCGCATGGCGCGGGCGTCGCAGCGCCTGCTGCTCTCAGGGGCGGCGCGTCGCCCAGACCTTGCGCGCGCGCCGTGGGCGTCGAGAAGGCGTTCCTCAGGTATGAGCTACGCCGAAATACAGGAACAAGGCGAAGCGCCCCGCGAGGTTAACTTTGCCGTGTCGCCAGACAGTCGTGCGGGCATCCTCCAGCAGGCGCCTGGCTGCGAGAGCTGCGACGAGCGGGCCGCGCGCTTGCGCTGCGTCGAGCCGCCGGGCGCGGGCCGCGCGGATGCGCCCAGAGTCTTCTCCGCGACGCTCGCCCGGGCCACGCGCTCGCCGGGGCGCGGCGCCAGGCCCGCCGGGCGGGGCCTGGAGCTCGAGGTCGAGCGCGAGACGCCGGGTGCCTGTGGCACCGGCGTTTCGAAGCTAGTGCTCGCGCTGTGCAAGCGCGTTTGCGGCCCGCTGATCGCCGGGCACGGGGGGCGCGCCGACTGGCTGACCAGCCGCCAAGATCGTCTTCGGAAAAGTGCGAGGTCATTATGATGGTTCCACTGAGGGTGGCGCGCGCCGGCCCCGCGGCGCCGACGGCGCCGCGACGCTCGACCAGGGTGATGCATCGACGCGCTGACGCCGATCAGGCACGTCGACCTGGTCATGGCCAAGGCTGACGCGCTGGCCAGAGGTCAGCTTCCAGGCCTCATTGTCGCCTTCCTGGCAGCAGCGGCCTATTCCCTGCGCGCCCGGCGCCGCGCCGCCGCGCGCATCGTCGCCCTGCAACGAGCCATGCGCAATCTGCTCATCCGACGCGTGAAGCAGCGATAAGAGCACGCATCGCGTTGCCAAGGTGGAGTCTGCCGGGCGACTGAGCGCGCGCAGCGACGGGTCGTTCAAGAGGGGCGAGGCGCAGACGGGGCGCTGCGCGAGAGGGGTCTTTAACATGCTTCTCGACAAGCGCCGCCGCGCCAGCTTTATACCATGGAAAAAGAATGCCCTGGTCGTTCATACATATATATATATATATATACAGTCGCGCACCAATAATGCAGTCTTGCATTTGGGCTCTTGACCAACGAAAAATGAGACTGAGCAGAAAACAACGATTTGTTTTGCGTTTCGACTTGCGTTTTTTCAGCGTTTGGAGGCCCGTCGCTGCGTGCTAATGTCTTTATCACTTTTTTGGTTTGCGTTCTGGTCGAAGGCTGTTCCTTGCCCTCCCCGCTGTCTTCGTTCCAGCCCGCTTCTGCCGCCGTTCCCCCTCCCGGAACTAGAAACACTTTGTTTTAAGACAAGCTTGAACAATGGTCTTGCGCCGGCCCGAAACAGGCCCATGGAGGCCCGATGGCCCCGCGCCCCGCATGGGCAATCGTCCATCAGGCCCGCCAGAATGCGCGCCAGGAGACGGACTGCGCGCCGGGAGATGGAACGGAGGACGTTGCAGATGACCACGGCAACGATGCAACCAGCTGATCAGGAGACGCTGAGGGAAAAACGTAGCTGACAACGTGAAACAAGGATTCGTTGTTTTTGCGTGTTTTTGTTGGGGAGGACCTTCAAGCGGTAAGCAATTTATTCCAACGCGTCGATTTAAAAACTGCCCTTCAAGAAAAATAGCACCTTGGGCATTTTCAAGAAGAGCCAAGCGCACTGGCAACCAGGTTTGCCATTTGTTGGACGCAGTGAGCCGGTCGCGCGAGCTGGTGCGCAGATCCTCGTTCGGCCCCGAATTGCTCGCAGCGCGCGTGGCAGCCGACGGACTGCAGGCGCGCCTCCTCGCGCCCGGCGAGGTAGTGCACGGCCCTGCCTCTGCCGAGGAGATCAGGAGGCTGATAGAGGAAAGAGATTACGCGATCCTTGCAAATCTGGTCATCGACGGCGCGTCCATTGTCGGCGCCTTGCCCATGGGCCCGGCGCGGCCGCTTTCCGAAACGGGCATGGTGAGCCGCATGTGGCGGTTAAACGACCAGTTGCGCACCGAGCAGATCGAGGTGTCTGGTGCGACATTCGGGACATGCGGGCCGACCCCGTGACCGAAGGCAGCGTGGGCCAGGAGCTCATCCTCTGTGTGATGGACGGCCAAAGGAGCAATGACCATGACACGGTCATTTTTTTGCGACGTGAAGAAGAAGGCCGCCCAGAGTTTCCAGCACAGTTTTCTCCTATAGCAGTGAAGAGGTGAATCGTGTGACTGTGTCGCAAGGTCGGCCTGTTCAGCTTAGTTCCGCTCGCCAGGCTTCAGGCCGCCCTGCCCAGCAACCGCGAGATCGCCAAATTTTGCGGTCGATCGCGGTCAAAAGCTGCGAGGAAGTTGAGTTTTCGCGCCGAGTGCTGCTCCAGTCGACTGTACCAGCTGAGCGACAGCAGTCTTTTCCCCCCAGTGCTCCACCCTTAAGTTCTTGAGAGCGGTCAGCAGAGCGCTCATCGTGGGATTTGTTGACACGAACCTGGTCGGCAGAACACTTGCGCAAGGCACGGCGGACTTGTTGGAAAACCAGGCTCGACTGGTATTCCTGATATCTCGCCCCTTCCTTGCCTGTGCCTTCACTGCCCTGTTTTCGCGGCCGTTCACACCTTGGCCAAGCATCGCGCCTGCAGTGTATTCGCTGTTGACTTTCACATTCCGCTGTTACGAAACACCCGATCTTTCAATTATTTCTTCTCACGTCCATGTCTCGAGTTCCCCCCTTTTCCTCCCCTCCCGTCCTTCTTGGGCATTATCCGATTATCTTTCGCCTCCCTTTTTCCTCGCTCCCAGCCGGTTTCCCTTCTCCTTCTCCTTCCTTACTCCCTGCTCCTTCCGTTGTTCCCTCCTTGCTCGTTTTCCCCTCCGTTTCCTCCTCCTCGTCTCCTCCTCCTCCTCCTCCTCTTCCTCCTCCGCCTCCCCGTTTTTCTCCTCCTCCTCCTCCGTCCTTTCGACCCTCCCTATCCTCCGCTCGTTCCCCGTCTCTGCTTGCCCTCCCTCCTCGAGCCTTCTCCTCCTCTTCCTCTTCCTCCTCCTCATCCTTTTCCTCCTCCTCCTCCTCCTCGTCCTCCTCCTCCTCCTTTTCCTCCTCCTTCTCCACCTCTTCTTTTTCTTCCTCTTACTCCTTCTTTTTCCCCCTCCTCCTCCTCCCCCTCCTCCTTTTCCTCCTTCTCCTCTTGGGGTGGAGGAGGAAGAGGAGAAGGAGGATTTTTCCAGGAGGTTGGCTGGCAGCGGCGCACTGGAAAAATCCTCCTTCTCCTCTTCCTCCTCCTCCACCCCGTGTCCTCCTCCTCCTCCTCCTCCTCCTCCTCCTACCCCTCCCCTACCCCTACTCCTACTCCTCCTCATCCTCCTCCTATACCCTCATGCCCTTCGTCATCCTTGTCCTCCTTCTGTTCCATCTTTTTTCTTTTGCAGGGGCTCCATAATCAGGATCTTGGAGAAAATGCAGAGAAACTGGGGCGGCATTCAGCACAACAGTGCCGGTCAAAATCCGGAGTTTTCGTGTCTCCCCAGCAGCCCATCCAGGAACGACGACGCTATGTCTTGAGGAGGGGCCAGGATGGGCATAGGTAAGCTTATAGTGTGTAGCGAAGCAACGAGGCCAACAATGGTGAAATTGGAGACCTCGGGGAACCATTTTGAAACCAACCCTCTTGGGACCATTTGGGGGCCTGATGGGCGCTCTTGGGGCCCTCCTGGGATCACAGGCAACCCCCCCCCCCCGTTTCCAGAAGGAGCAATCGGGGAACTATTCGGGGCCCTCTTGGGGCTCGGGGGTAGTTTTTCGCCCCTGAGTCATTTTTGATGGTCCCCGGGCCCGAGAGCGGTCCCCGGAAGCCGACATGGAAGAATCATCGCAGGTTGAAGCAACCGGATCGCCGGAGATTTGGGCCTCGTCCTCCCCGTCCCGCTTTCCAGGAGGGCCGCCGTGGGCGCGAGCTGTGTCTTTTGCAAACCCTTCGGCGGCTGGGGGCTGGAGCGGGCTCACGCGGAGGAAACGATCTGCGAGCTGGTGACCGCCGCGGGTGCCGCCTCGTGACGGGGGGGGATTCGAGGATCGAGGATGGAGGAGGGTCGAGTAAGAGGATTGTTTTGCAACGTGAACATTACTGACGAGCCGTTCTAGCTCCGCCAGCCGAAAATTATGACCTTACCAGTGACAAGCGCGCAATGAAAACCACCGCCACCAGGCCAGGAAATCAGTCGGAATCGGAGGATTCCGCGCGGTGAACGCGAGCAGTTTGCGCCAAGAGAGTCCCTTTCTCCTCTCGGCGGAGTACCTCTCGCACCTCGCCGAGCTGCTTGCTAGTCTCCGTCTCCTCATCGTTGGGAGGAGGCGGAGCCACTGCCGTCTCTTTGGGCGCTGCTTCTGGCACCTCAAAACGATCAGGGGACGCCTCGATGGCCACATTGTCCATCTTCGGGTGTCGCCCTTTCATCACATGATGCTACCACTGCTCGAGATTGTCGCGAGCGGGGGGTAAAGCCAGAGGACCCAGTGTTGAAATCGCATTGCAGCCACAGCACACGAAAAGAATGTATTGGTCGCTGCAGTCAGAAGACAAGAGACAGTGTCTTCTCGCCCCCCCCTACTTGCTTCAGCGAAGCTGGCACAACCCCCGAGCAGCCAAGCGTCGGTGGTTGATCGCTCTCTTCAGAAACAACATCCTTATCAAAGGTCGGCGAACTGTCAAACAGACTGCGCACCTCCAAAAAGGTGCTACACAACTCCCGCCGGTGTTGGTCCGAGGGGCCGCGGTCCTGGGCTCGGGTTCCCGACGGGTCCTGGCGCAGCCTTGGAGGTCCAGCGCGGGCCACAACAGACTACACTCGGCCTTGGCAATCATGATAGTTCTGCCCACCTGCTATGTATATTGTATATATATACCATATATATACACACATCTATATATATATATATATATATATATATATATTCGAGCCAGTCGAATGGTCGTCCAGTTTTGACCCAGCGACTCTGTCAGTTGCGTCGTTGTCTACCTTTATCCTAGCGCTGCTGCTGGGTCAAATCTGAGCTGTTCGCAACATGTGGTTGAACCTTCATCAAATCAGTCAGGTTTCTCGAACTCACAGTTATCATCGTGTCAGCATGCTTCTTGTACGAGAATTGGGCCAGGGAGGAGGAGAAGGAACGAGCAGGCGGGCCAAGGAGGAGGAGGAGGGGAATCAGTGCAAACCCAAGACGCATCATCGGTGCTGCAATATTCCCTCCCTCCAAGTTCCCTCGTTTAAAAAGCCCTACGAGTTTCTATGGTCATTCCAGGAAGTGCCCTTTCGGAAGACAACCGGTTTATAGTCCCGTCTTAGAATCCGCGAATTAATGTGACTGTCGCGTCCTGACAATCCGAAGTCGTGCCGGAGCACCATTCCCGGAGCTGCAATACCGCGAATCAACGTGTTTGTTTCGTCGTGGCAATCCTCAACCGCGTTAGAATATTACTCCTGGGACTTCATCCATACGAGTCCGTCGAGCGGTTGCGCACTTTTCAGACGAATGCCCGTGGCGTATCGGCGAGCGCCGCATTTTGAAAAGGACCCGCCCTCCATCCTCGAAGGCGTTGCAATCTTTCAAGTCGCACGTGCGCGGCTATCCAGCGAGGTCAACATTTTGAAAAGGACTTGCCTTGCGCACGTGAGCTATTGCAAACTTTTGGGACGAACGTGCGCGGCGCTAAGGCGACGGCCACATATTGAAAACGAGGAACCCTCCATCGTGAAACTGTTGCGCATTTCATCCTTTATGACCATACATGGTGGGGAAGTCTCAGGCAAAACGCCCAGGCCGCCCTACCGATACGACGAGGGGTGCGGGAAAGAGGAGATTTTTGTAAGGAAGGGGATGGAGGGGGAAGACGAGGACGGCGACGAGGACGAGGAGGAGGAGGATTCAGGAGAGAAGAGATCATTGAGAAGGCGGAGGAGGAGGAGGACCAACGTAAATCCAAGACGCATCAACGATGCAGCAAGAAACCCTCCCTCCAGGTTCAAAAGTCCGCACAAGGAAGTCATGTGCATTGCGGCAAGTGCCTCTTTGGATGACAATTGGCTTAGAATCTTCAACCGTGGCATGACACATTTCCTTGGACTTCAACGCCGCAAATTAGTGTGACTATCGCGTCGTGACCATCCTAAGTTGTGCTTGGGCACAATGCCCGAAACTACAACATCGCGAGTCAACGTGACTGTTTCGTCCTGACAATCCTTCGACGTGCCCGAACATCATTCCAATAACTTCAACCGTACGAACCCTTGCACCTTCTGCAATCTGTTAAGACGAAAGTCCGTGGCGCTGTGGCGAGAGCCGCATTTTAAACAAGGAATCGCCCTCCATCCTTGAACGTGTCGCAGACTTTGCAAACGACTGTGCGCGGCTCTCCGGCGAGACTTTCATTTTGAACACGACCCGCCTTGCATCCGTGAGTGTGTGGAGATCTCTTAAGTGGAATCTGCGCGGCGTTGAAGCGAGCTCGCGTTTCGAAAACGAACCGCCCTCCATGGTGCACCGCGCCTTCTGATCACACATGGTGAGGAGGTCTCAGGCGAAACGCCCACCCAGGGATGCGAGTGGGAGGAGTTACTTAACAGGAAAGATATGGAGGAGGAGGAGGAGGAGGAGGAGGAGGAGGCGCTAAGGCGAGAGCCAAAGTTTGAAAAGGACCCGCCCAGCATCCATGACGCCTGCGCAAACTTGTCAAACGAATGTGCGCGTACAGCGAATGTGCATGGCGCTAAGGCGAGAGCGACATTTTGAAAAGGAGCCGCCCTCCATCCGTGAAACGGTGTGCGAGCTTTAAAGACGATTGTGCGCGGCGCAAAAAGGGGACCACATTTGTTAAGGACCCGCCTTCCATCCGTACAGCTGTTGCAAATTACATCGAATTTCACAGTTCAGGGTCGCAATTGGTGAGTAAGTACCCCGCGAAACGCCAGGCCCGCTCTGCCGACACCTCTGGGGGTGCGACAGGGATTAGTCACTTATACGAAATTGGGTGGGGGAGGAGGAGAACCAGGAGAAAGAGGATCGAAGAGAAGGAGGAGGTGGAGGAGGAGGGAGGGGAGGACGGACTATCGAGGATGGAGCAGGGTCGAGCAGGCGGACGAGGAGCATGGAGGTGGACGGATGATGGAGGATCGAGGAGGAGGAAATGAGGAGGAGGAGGAGGAGGAGGAGGAGGAGGAGGAGGAGGAGAGGGAGAAGGAGGTTGAGGATCGAGGAGGAGAGGAGGAGGATCGAGGAGGAGGAGGAGGATCGAGGAGGAGGAGGAGGAGGTGGGATAATCGAGGAGGAGGAGGAGCACTGAGGAGGAAGGATCGAAGAGCATGCTATCCAGAAGGAGGAGGAGCAGGTGGAGGAGGGAGGTGGATCGAGGAGGAGACGGAGGATGATGATGAGGAGGAGGAGGATAATGAGAAGAAGGATTCTGATGAGGAGGAGGGGGAGGAGGAGTAGGAGGAGGAGGAGGAGGAGGAGAAGAACCAGTGCAAGTCCGCGGCGCATCAACGATGTAGCAATACACCGTCCTTTCAAGCTCCACCTCCATAAGTCTTTACATGTTCATTCTGGGTAGTTTCATTTGTAAGGTGACCGTGTGATAATCTTCAATTTTAGTCAACGTGACTGCTGCGTCCTGACAATCTTGAACCGTACAAGAACACCTTATCTGGGACTTCAGCACCGCGAATTATCAAAGTGACTGTTGCGCCCTGACAATCTTAAACAGCGCCAGAACGTGATTCCAGGGACTGAAGCATGATAACCCTGGAAACGATTGCACACTGTGAATTCACTGTGAAGACGGATGTTCGCGGCGCTAAGGCGAGAGACACATTTTGAAGAGTAGCCACCCTCCATGCTTGCGGTTGCTTCAATCTTTCAAGACGAATGTGCACGGCGCTGGGGCGAGAGCCACATATTGAAAAGGACCCGACCTCCATCCGCGAAGCTGCTGCAAACTTTTCAAACGAATGCGCGCGTAAAGCGAATGCGCTGGCGCTCAGGCGAGAGCCACATTTTGAAAAGGACCCGCCCTCCATCCGTGAAGGTGTTCTGCAAACGTGTAAGTCGAATGTGAGAGAGTCTCTGGCGAAACGCCCGGCTTACCGACACGTCTGGGACTGCGACAGGCAGGAGCTATTTATGAGGAGTGTGGTGGAGGACGAGGAGGAGGACGAGGAGGACGATAAGAAGGAGGATCAAGCAGGAGGAGGATCAAGGAGGAGGAGCATGGGGAGACGTAAGAGGGTCGAGGAGTGAATGAGGAGGATGGAGGAGACGGATGAGGAGGTGAATGAGGAGGACGGAAGAGGAGGGAGGATCGAAGAGGAGTAGGAGGAAGAGAGTTGGACGAGGAGGAGGAGGAGGCGGAGGAGGAGGAGGAGGAGGAGGAGGAGGAGGAGGAGGGGGAGGAGGAGGAGGAGGAGGAGGAGGAGGAGGAGGAGGAGGAGGAGGGGGAGGGGGAGGAGGAGGAGGCTCGCCACGGCTGGGTCCGCCTTGAACGTCCGGTTGGAACGCAACCTAGGCCATTCCGGGGTGTCCAGGGGGGCGATCTTGAACGGGGTCATCCCGGCTTGTTTCGTCACGGAAAAAAGTGGCGGCTGTTTTCACTAAGCTTTTGGAGGCCCGGCTCGGGATCCAGGGCCGCCAAACAACGACCCGAGCCAAACAAGTGATGGCCTTTGGGGTGGATCGAGAGGTCTGGGGGCCTATGCTTTGAAAAATGCCATGGCGTCGGATGCGTGGTTCTTATATATGTAAACATATTTATTTATGTGTTTATTTGTGTATGCATGCATAATGTTCTGCTTCTTCTTCTTCTTCTTCTTCTTCTCCTCCTCCTCCTCCCTTCCCCCCTCCCTTCCCCTACCGTCCCCCTTCTCCTCCTGCGCATCCTCCCGCTCACGCCCTTTCTCTACCAGAAAGGGTTCGGATGAGGACTGGGGCGGTAGGGGGGGGGGAGGGGAAGGAGGAGGACTAGGGCGAAGACGATGGCTGGCGGCACGGTCTCCTGGGGTGGCAAGGGGGAAGGGCTCTGAAACAGCCCTACCCCTTGAAGCCGTCTGGGGCTCTCAGGTGGCTCAGCACCTTAGCTGCCTCGATACGCCCGCTCTGACACGCAACACGTGCCGTGCTTAAGACGTCCGTGTCGATACGTTGCGTGTTGGCTCATCGTATTGGCCCACGTTTTGGCAAACGTCTCGCGTTACACATGTTTTTCAATCTACGTGCTGAGCTCCGTATCAATACGCTATGTGTTGCGTGCTGCGTTTCGGACAGCCAAGCCCAGCACTGGTTGCCTCCGGGGCTTTTTCGGGCCCCGAGATATTGAACACTTGTTTTAAGATGGGAACTTGCAGCATCATACGGACCTCAGGAGGGGTTCGGGGACCGATTTTGAGCGGACTGGGCCTCCTCCTCCCCTCCTGACCGATCCTCTGCGGTCCTGACCAGCTCAGACCCCTCGGCGGCCTCCAACTCCCCCTTTTTCTGAAGCCTTGCGGCCTTGCACCTTTCTGGTTGTCGGCTCGCCTTGCTTTGTCTTCTCGGCGGCCTGGTACCACGGCTTTCTGTTGGAGGCAACACGCATTGCGGAGAGATCAGACGCCCTCCATCCACTTCTCCCTGTCTCACGTTTGGCGCAGCATGGCTGCGGCGATATGCAGTGCTCGAAGGTGGAGGCATCATGTTGGTGGTGTGTGCGGGAGAAAAACCCTGTCAGAAAACCTCTCAAGATCCCGCACACGGAGGCCCCACCTCCCGGAGACCAACTCTTCATTCTGCGTCGTTTCTTGTTTGTCCTGGGGCTTGCCGAGGTCCTTCAGAGGCTAACAACGAACAACGGCGTAAACAATGTGCTTGCTTTTTGTCAATGCGTCGGATTTCAGGGCCCTTTCTAGAAGCCCGTAGGAAGAGGCCCCCCCCTTGAGATCCCATAGGAAGGGCCCCCCCCTTTCCTGCTCAGAGGGCCTCGCATCGGCGTCACCACCACATACGAGTATTGTGTGCGCGTCGCCCCCACTGGGGCGTCGCGCGCGCCGAGAAATCTTGTAGTGTACGCTCGGTGGCGGCCGCGTTCTGGCCATCCCGCTCGGGAAGCGATACGCTGCAAGATGTTGTGCTATCTGGTCGGGTCTGACGTGCGTCTCTGAGGAGGACATCGTGCTAATCTGTTCTTCCATGTCCCACGGCTCCCTTGCCCCAGGCCCGTTCCCTCGCGCTCCGCCGAGAGGGGGTCAGGGAGGTGCGTGCGTGCCCGGCGCCGACGAGCCCAGCCTCGTCGTCTCGCTCCTGCAGGCGCCGAGGGGGTGGAAAAGCGCTTGTTTGTTCCCCATCTGCTTATAGGGGTTCTGGTCTTCTTCCCTGCCGCGTCGCACCCGCGTCTCCTCCCACACATACCTCCCTCTTCCCCTCCTCCTCGTCCTCTCCTCCTCTTCCTCGCTTCACCCGCGCGCAACACATGCACGGCACGTACATGAGACACGCGTTCTACATAAAACCGCACGGATGCACACACGCAAAACACATGCGCTCAAGATTCGCAGGGCGAGGCAGGCATGGCAGGCGCACTGCATCATACACCCAAGACGTATGCGCACGGTCGCCCAGGGCATCGCAGGCGTGGCATATTGTCGACGCCTTTGGGGGTGCTCTGGGCGTGGGGGCGCTATGCGTTGCAGGCTCGCAGGGCGTGGCAGGCGTGGCATTTTCTCGACGCTTCAGGGGGTGCGCTGGGGGTGGGGCTGCTATGCGTTGCAGGCTCGCAGGTCGTGGCAGGCATGGCACTTCCTCGACATGCGTTGCAGGCTGGCGGGTCGTGGCAGGCGTAGCATGTCCTCGACGCCACAGGGGGTGCGCCTGGGGTGGGGGCGCCATGGGTTGCAGGCCCGCAGGTCTTGGCAGGCGTGGCACTTCCTCGACTCCACAGAGCGCACAGAGCGGTGCGCTGGGGGTGGGGGCGCTATGCGTTGCAGGCTCGCAGGTCGTGGCAGGCGTGGCACTTCCCCGACGCCACAGGGGTATGCGCTGCAGGCTCGCAGGGCGTGACAAGCGTGGCATTTTCTCGACGCTTCAGGGGGTGCGCTGGGGGTGGGGGCACTATGCGTTGCGGCTCGCAGGGCGTGGCGGGCGTGGCATTTCGTCGGCACTATGACTTGCAGGCTGGCAAGTCTTGGCAGGCGTGGCATTTCTTCGACGCCACAGAGGGTGCGCTGGGGGTTGAGGGCGCCATGCGTTGCAGGCTCCCAGGGCGTGGCAGGCGTTGCATTTCCTCGACTCCACAATGGGTGCCCGCCGGAATCTGGATGCAGGTGCAAAAGTTCGAGAAGCAGAGCCCGGACGTGGTCCCGCGTCAATTCCTTCGTAATCCAGAAGGAGAGGGGAAAACGGCTTGTTCTGCTTCCCGCAAGCCGCAAGGCGCACTTCAAATTGCAAAGCGCTAACATAATGCACCGGGTGAAAAGGTTTGGGTACGCGCTCACGCACGGGCTCTTCCTGACGTCCACCGCGTCACAGGGCCAGACGATCCGCACCAGGGTGACCATCGATTGCGCGCAGGACGCGAGAATTGGCAGACCGGAGGACAGGGCTCATAACTGGTGGTTGCACCTGTCCGCGATGATCAGCAGAGCCACTTGTTGCATGGACGATTTGCTCTTGCTTCGGCCGCCGCCAACGGAGGTCCTGCAGAAAAGCCCGCCCCCATCCGTGCCCAAAGCGGTCCAGAAGTTCGATGAGCGCATGGCCATGGAGACGCGGGATGTCGAGGCCCTCGCCCTGGAACGCCAATGGATCTTGCCGGCGGCGCGAGGTCGTTGGTGCGCACTGGCGCCGGAGTCTTTCCGACAAAGGCAGCGCTGTCCAGCTGCGTCGAATTCGCGCGGCCCGCGCCGCTCCTTGACGATTTCGGAGCGGCCGCCCAGCTTTTGTCATCGTGGCAACCGCAGCCCAGAAATATTCCGTCGAAGGGCACTCGCAGATTGCGCGCAGGCGGATTATGTTTGCTTTGAAATTCTTTTGCGCGCGCAGCTCAGAGACTTCCCGCCGAAGAGACGCGGGGACAGACGTTCAAACTGCATGAGAATAAGTAAAGGAAAAGTAGGCCGACCTAGGTGAGAAAGTAAGGCAGGGGTGCGGGAGGGGATGGAGAAAAGATCGCTCTAGAGGCTCCCTAGAGCGTTTACGCGAAGGGGCTTGATTTGCACCGACTTCCACAGTGGTCCCCGTGGTTCACCGCGATGTGGCAGCTCGTCTTGCGTTACCTCATTGCTTGTTGCCGCCCCAGGAAATTGCCCTCGGTGACCGCCTCGAACTTTCCCCGATGGAGGATGGAAGGCGGGGGCGGGGGAGAAGGTTGCATCAATGGTGCGATGGAATGCAAAACATTCGGAAACGTTCGCAACGAGGGGTTACAAACGCAGGCTTTCGCATGTATGGCAATGATAAGCGAACGCCTACGGTTTAAGTTAAGTATGTGGGGTTCCTCGGTCGCGTAATTGGTCTTTGTTTTCTAGGTCGACGACGTCGTTCCAGTTTGGGAGCAGTTTTCTCGGTTCTGGGATTCTCGTTTGCGCCTTCGTTTCTTCGGTTCTGTTTTGGAATGCCGTTCAGGGGGCGTTTCGTTATTCCCGTTTTCAACTTCTCGGTATTCAACCAACCAAGACGCAACGACAAAACACGCCATCCCCAACAATGAACAGCGCGGCGGTGCAAAACGGAACTGAACCGAAAACGGTGCGAACGAGAACCCCGCGACGGGAAATAAACGGCCCCAGCGCGGAAACGCTGATTTGAAAAGAACGTCGCCCGTGTTTTCAATGACGTCTACGGGCCCCGACAATCTCGCGTCGGGTTTTGGCGTCCTGAATTGCGGCGGGAGGTCTTTGACAAGTTTCAGCCTCTGGAGACTTCGACGGGCCCTGGGACCGACAGAGAACGGCTCAGAGTGAGAGGCCGGTCCCCAGACACAGGGCCCAGCACCGTGGGGAACCGCGCGGAGCAGAGATCATAGCGTCGGATGTCTCGAGGGGGTCGCTAGCCTTCCAGGGTGTGCGTCGGTCCTTTCCAGCACCGCCCCAGGCCCAGGATTGTCGCGCGTGCCCCCTTGGCCCGGGCAGGACGGCGCATCCCGTGATGGGGCATTTGTAACCGCCGCCACCGTGCCTCGCCAGGGCCGCCCTGCATGGGGTCATTGCGACTGTGCTGGCTCGATTCGATTTCCCAGGCTGCCGATCCGAATCGATTCGATGCGGACATTCCGATTTGCGATTTCGATTTCGGGTTCGCCCGATCCGACTCCCTCCGATACGATGTGTCAGCCGATTTCTGCCGATTCTTGCCGTTCCGGCTTCGCTCCATATGGATATGTTGCGCCGTGTTCAGGGCCCTGGGCACGATGTATGAGCCCTCTTGGCCTCGGCCAAGAGGGCGCGCGCACCAATTCCAGGATCGCCCTGGCCGGGGCCCAGGATCGCAGGATCGCCCTGGCCAGGCATGGTTGTGTATAGGTGCCTTCTGTAGATATCCACCGCCGATTTCGCCTGGGCCTCTTTCGTCACGGGCAAATCGCGACAACTGTTTTTTCGCTTTGGTTCGGGCTAGCCGAGGCTCGTTTCGGGCCCAAGGGCCGTCAACAGCGTGCCAGGATGACAGGCTGACCCGTGGGAAAGGGGTCGAGGGTCCCTGAGACTCATGCCGCGAGTTGTCGTGATGTTGGTGGAGAGGGGACGGCGTACCCGCCGCCAACCGTGGTCAGTGCCATTACAGTGAGTAATTACGCGGTGATGGATATGTTGGCAATGCGCAAGAAGGTGGCACTCAACTGGCAGAAACGCGTCACGTTTGCACGGGATAGCGCAGGAGAGTGGCAAGAAACCTCCAGTTCCCTGCATCGGTCCGAGCCTGGGCCTACAGAGCACCACCCTGGGTGGCGGTGGCCTAGGCCCAGGATTGGCCTGGCCAGGGTCGGCGTATGTGGATGATTGGCGCCTCCCGAAGGCGGGCGACAAGTTCAAGGCCCGGCAGACCGTGCCCACAGGCTTCTTCGAGGACGCGCCCGCCCAGGCCACCCAGGCGGCCAAGGACATTGCAACTGCCCAGGCGCAGGCGCCCTTTGACGTCGGCAACAATGCCGTCCCCTTGAACCAGTACGAGGCCTGGGCGAAACCGGCGTCGCTGGCGCAGCAGCCCCAGTCGCTGGTGCAGCAGCTGGCGCCGGCTGCACAGGTGCAGGGTGCATACACCGCCGCGTCGGTTTACGGGCCCGCGGCGTCCTACGGGAAGCCCGCCACGGCACTGACGCCGCAGCGGGATATTCAGCAGCAGCTGGAGCGCCAGGCTAAGCTCGCGCAGGAGGACGAGCGGCGGGAGCGCGAGTTGCAGCAGCAGCAGCAGCAGCGGCAACAGCAGCTCGAGCTGCAGCGGCAGCAACGCGAGCAACTGGAACAGCAGCAACGGCAGCAACGTGAGCAGCAGGAACGGCAGCAGCTAGCCGCTGATGATCAAAGAACGATGGTCCAGGCGCAGCAGCAGCAACAGCAGCAACAGCAACAACAGCAGATGCAGCAGCAGCTACAGCAACAGCAGCAACAGCAGCAGCTGCAGCAGCAAAAGCAGATGGAGCAGCAGCTACAGCAACAGCAGCAACAGCAGCAGCTGCAGCAGCAACAGCAGATGGAGCAGCTGCAGCAGCAGCTACAGCAGCCGCAGCAGCTGCAACAAATGAAGCAGCAGCAGCAGCAACCGCAGCAGCTTCAGCAGCAGCAGCTACAGCAGCCGCAGCAGCTGCTGCAGCAGCTACAGCAGCCGCAGCAGCTGCAGCAGATGCAGCAACTTCAGCAGCAGCAGCAGCCGCAGCGGCTGCAGCAGCAGCTACAGCAGCCGCAGCAGCAACTTCAGCAGCAGCAGCAGCAGCTGCAGCAGCTGCAGCAGCTTCAGGCCGAGGCAGCCCAGATGTCGCTGCAGCCGCAGGCCGAGGCAGCGGAACAGCCGCAGCAGCAAGTGCAGCAGCAGCTGCAGCGGCAGCTGCAGCAGCAGGCCGAGAGTGCCCAGATGTGGGAACAGCAGATGCAGCAGGATAATGTGCAAAGGCAGCAGCTTCAGCAGCAGCAGCAGCAGCAGCAGCAGCAGCAGCAGCAGCAGCAGCAAGCCACCGCAGAGGCAGCGAGCTGGCAGCAGCGCGCCCAGGGCTCGGCTGCGACGGCTCCTGGGCTGTTCGAGCGCCTCTGGGAGAGTGTTAGTTCCCGGACTTTCCCCAGGAGCACCGGCTCGCACGAGCCGCAGCCCCAGCAGCGACTGCAGGAGCAGCAGCCGCAGCCTCAACAGCTGCTGCAGCAGCCCTGGCAACAAGAGCAGCTGCAGCAACAGCAGCAACTTCAAGGGCCACTGGGACAGCAACAGCTGCGGCGACAGGAACAACTGCAAATGCAATTGGAGCAACAGCAGTTGGCTGCCGAGGAGCAGAGAAGGAAGGTGGCCCAGGAGGAGCAGATGCAACATATGCAGCTGCAGCAGCTGAAGGAGCAGCTGCAGCAGCAGCAGCAGCAACTGCAGCGACAGGATCAGTTGCAGAAGCAGCAGCAACAAGAGCAGCTGCAGCTGGAGTGGCAGCAGCAGCAGAAGGAGCTGCAGCAGGAGGCCGATGCAGCCGAAGTGTCGCAGCAGCAGGAGCTGCAGCAGCAGCACCCAGCCTCCCAGGGATCGGCCACGGAGAATCCAGGGCTTTTGACTCGCCTCTGGGGGGGTGTCTCCAGAAACACGGGCTCGCAGGATCCGCAACACAAGCAGCCGCTGAAGGCCCCGCCTCAGGCGCTGCATGAGCAGCCCCTCCTGCATCATGCCAGGCGTGAACCTCCCTCGCAGCAGCCGCTGCTGCAGCCGCGGCAGGCGGCGGACCAAGCGCTCCAGCCTGTGGAGGTAGACTTGTCCAGCAACCACGAGGTCCAAGAGGCGATGACCGACCTCAAGGTCCAGCAGCGTAGGTTGCAGCAGCTGGAGCAAGACCTCCTGCGGAACGGATCGCAGCGCCAACACCAGGAGCGCATCGAAGCTGCCAGGGCGGCTGGCACGAGCGAGTACCAGCCAGTGCATGAGCACTGCACACCACGGTGCTCCTACACGTGCGAGACGCCGAAGTGCGACGAGGAGTGTCACCAGGTGTGCGAGAGTCCGACATGCCAGACTCGATGCAAGGACGTCGACCTGTCTGGATGTAGGATGAATTGTGGCAAGCCGCATTGCGCTGTCATTTGTCCACAGGACACCTGTATGGATGAGGACTGCCCCCAGTGCGAGACGAAGTGCTCGGAGCCGATGTGCATGCTGCAGTGTCCGAAAGCGCAGCCATGCCACAACGAGTGTGAGCAGCCCCAGTGCCAGTGGAAGTGTAAGGCGCCGACGACGTGCCCGAAGCCCGTGTGCCAGATGCAGTGCGAGACGCACCCAATGTGCGTTGGACACACCTTCAAGGAGCTGCCGCCGCTGCAGGAGGGCGAGACGACGGTGCAGTCCTTCGCCGTTCCAAGAAATGGAGCTGCTACTCTCCCTGCCCGCGAGGTGAGCAACGCAGGAAAACGGGGTCGATTGTGCGTACACTCGTGCGTGAGCTGCCCGCGAAAGGTCGCGCACAAGCAACCTTCTCACGCGGTGTGACGCGTCGGCGGCCTGCGCAAGTCATCGCTACATGCCGCCGAGTCCTCCCGCGCAAGAGCCCGTTTCCCCTGACGTCCAGGTGGCCCACCAAGGCCTGCCGCAGACGATGCAGGTCCCCGTTGCGTCGCTTACCTCCGGTGAAGACGCCACGTGGCCTGGCGTCGAGCAGCTCGTTGACATCCCCGTGCTCGTGACGCCGAGCATCTCGTAGGCCATCAGCGACCTGTAGGCGTCACTGCCATCACGTTTGCTGATCGGCTCAGGCTCGGCGATTAGCGCTGGCAGCCTGGACGTGATGGCGGGTGGCCAGACAGGAAGGTGGCCGCTGAGGGTCCGGGTCACGGAGGAAGTGGATGAACGATGGTTCCGATGCTCGAATGTACAGCGTTCTCGGCTTTGGGTAATCGGCTCCCAAGGTTCTAGTTCTGAGATGGGTACGGCATCGGGTTATGAGTTTCCGTGCCTTGAATACACTGTTCAATCATCCAATCATCCGCGTGTTGCCTTCGGAGCCACACATGGCCCTGTCGGCGCGGCGCCACGCAGCCTGCCCTCTTGGCTCTGCCCTGGCAGCCTGTGCGCGGCTCAACTCGTCATGCTTTTCATTTTCTTTTTGCGTGCGGGTTCCTCCCTGCCACGTGCAACAGAAATGCATCACCGTCTTTTCATTGTCGTCTTTCTTCCCCGCTGCATCCACATGGCCCGTGTGCTGTGCGCCCATCTCATTGTGACCATTACGGCGTGACATACTTTGCGCTGCCCCACCCCCGGCAGCAACGTCCCTCGCTTGACACCCCCGAGGTGGCGAGAGGCCGCGGCCCTTTCGTAAAAGGCGCGCGGGGGAACTCCTAGGGGAGGGGCCAGTACAGGCCCAGCTGAATCTTGCAATTCAGATATGTCTTGTGCAGCAAACATGGGTACACTTACACCGCGGGAGAGAATCTGTGGCCATATCGGCTTATTCGCGGGGGGTCTACGATATCTTAGGAGTGCCTGCTGCTTTGCGACGGGCGGACTGGCCGATTCTGCCGCTCCTTCACACCAGCTCGGCTGCAGAATAATGCTGAGGCTCGTATGCAGCAGCTTGCACGCAGAGACTCTCAATGATGCTAGACATCGCAATTTACAGTTGAGTGATGGTGTTCTGAGTTCTGGCCTTTCCTTGGCCCGGACCAGGGGGATCAACCATACCATTTATCAAACAGGATTATGCGAGTCCTCCTACCCTCAGATGACGATGGCTGTGGTGATGACGAAGACGAAGACGAAATTCTGGACGATGAAGAAGTCCTCGGGAGAGGTCTTGCGGGGCCTTAGGTTGGGAGTTTCTGGGTGTTGTCTGGACCCGCCGATGGGCTGCTTGGAGGTATAGATCGTGGGCGAGCCGAAGATGTGCGGTCCGGGGTCCTTCTCTGAGCGTTCCAGTTGGGGGAGGGCGCGGCCTCATGAGGAAATAGAAAACAGGAGGAGAGGGAAATGAGGAATGCAACTGTTGTAGGGACAATTTTTAGACGTTTCGCGTAACCCCACCAGCCCGTCCGTAGCCCCCCTGGCTCAAGCCGTGTGCGGGCAACCCCCGCTCTCGAGGGGGCGCCCGACGCACCGCCTGGCCGCCCCCCCCCGCCTGCCCGCGGCTCTTCGAGCCCCGCTTGATACCCGGCCGCCCTCGCTTGCGGCCCTGCATCCAGCGAGGCGCCCAGCGCGATGGAGGATGGGATCTCCGATCTCGAGATCGATCGGGTTGATGGAAGACAGGGTGGGAGTACGAGCCTAGCGCAGGACCTGGGAGGCCACGCAGTGGCCGCAGCCCCCCCCCCCCCCCGGATCACACCCTCTCCCAGATCCCCGCCGGACAGCCATCGCCTCCAGACTCGGGGGGAAGCCTGACTGGCTTCAGAATGATCGATCTCACGTCGGATCCCTCGATCGATTCTGCAGACCCTTGTGAAGGAAGGATCGACAACTCGGCTGTCAGCCGAGGAGAGGTCGGGTTCCGCGGGGCAGACCCGACTGACTCAAGAGCAGAAGCGGCCGTTAGCCGCAACCCTGGTAACCCTGGCAGCTCTGGTACGCAAGACGGCGCCGCCCCCCCCCTCCCCACCTTCGACTCCATCTCTCCCACCCTTCCGTTCCATCCACGGGGCCCTCCGACAGCCCTCTCTCCCGGGGGGAGCTTGTGCGGCTGCGACGACGCCGCGGGCGCCTACTCTGCAGGGGGCCTCCGCCCCAACCCCGATCGCAGGGCCCTGGGCCACGGGTGCGCCTCGCGCGATCTCCGCCCGCCCCCCCCCCCCAGAAGGGTGTCCTGCGGTGCCTCCCCAACAGGTGCAGGCACGGGCGCCTTCAGCGGCCGCAGGCCCCCTTCGGAGTCGCGCCCCCCTGTCGCCCTCAGGTGGGCGAGGCCCTCTCGCCCTCCGATGTCCGAGTCTCGATGTCCCCATGGGCACCCCTGGCCGGCCGCAGGCCTTGCAAAGCGAAACAGGGCCCTTTAGGCCAGGAGGGAATGAAGTGGCGGTCTCATCGAGCGGCACGGCAGCTCTCTGTGGCGGCAGGCCCACTCAGGGTTGTGACCCCCCCCCCGCAGGCGACCCAGGCACGTGCGCCCTCCGACGTCCGAGTCCTGATGCCCTACCGGGCACCCCTGGCGGCCAGCAGACCTCTCCAAGTGAAGCATGGCCCGTTAGGCCAGAAGGGATCGCTTCGGTTGCGTCATCGGATTCACAAGGAGAAACAAGGCCCGTTAGGCCAGAAGGGAACGTGGCTTCGGTCTTATCGGTCTTCCAAACTGACATAGGGCCCGTTAGGCCAGAGGGGAAGGGACATGCTGTCACATCGACCGGCACGGCGTCCCTCTCGGGCAACACTCCCCCCCAGGATTGCCCCCCCCCATCCACAGCCGAACAAGGCACTCCTGCCTCCTTTCGTCTGAGCACTGACGCCCGCGAGAGCAACCCTGGTGGCCAGCAGACCCCGCGCGGAGAAACAGGGCCCGTCAGACCAGAAGAGAATGGAGTGACGGTCTCATCGAGCGTCGCGGCAGCTCTCTGCGGCGGCGGGCCCCCTCAGGGTTGCGACCCCCCCCCCCCGCAAGCGGCGCGCGCATTCGTGCCCTCCGACTTCCGGAGTCCCGATGCCCTACCGGGCACCCCTGGCGGCCAGCAGACCTCTCCAAGTGAAGCAGGGCCCGTGAGGCCAGAAGGGATCGCCGCGGTTGCGTCATCGGATTCACAAGAAGAAGCAGGGCCCGTTAGGCCAGAAGGGACCGTGGTTTCGGTCTTACCGGTCTTCCAAACAGAAACGGGGCCCGTTAGGCCAGAACGAAGTCGTGGCGTCTCGAGCCCCCGCTCCCTCCCTGGCAGCCACCCCGAAAACGGATCGCAGCGGCGCCCGACGGCAGCGACCCGCGACTGCCCTGCGGGGGGAACCCCCGCCGGAAGGCGCATTCTCTCCCGACGGAGCCTCCGCTGCCAGCGGAAGCCGGCTCCCTCCGCAATTTTCTCCCAGGCAGGCCACTGCCAGCGCAGGATTTGCATCCATATTTCGAAAGCCTCGCTGCCAGTTCCGCCGACCCTGAAGTCGGGACCTTCCCCCGACCCAGGCCAACGATCTCCCCCCGGGACCCGCCGGGTTCCCTGCAGGGGGTTGGTTCTGACCCGGGAAAACCCCCCTTCCCCCCCTCAACCCTTCCCCCCCGGCAAGGAAGATATCAAGGGAAAGGGAATCGACTGAACTACGACGTTCCTTGATCCTACGACGACGAGGACGACGACGGCGGCGACGACGACGGCGACGACGACGTTGACGGTGGCGGCGACGACGACGACGACGGCGACGACGACGCTGACGCTGACGGCGAGGACGACGACGACGACGCGACGACGACGACGCGACGACGACGACGACGACGACGACGACGACGACGACGACGACGACCACGACCACGACGACGACGACGACGACGACGACGACGACGACGACGACGACGACGACGACGACGACGACGACGTCGGCTTCGACGACGACCACGACGTCGACGGCGGCGGCGGCGGCGACGACGAAGACGACGACGACGACGACGACAGCGTCTCTCACACGCCGAAGGGTCGGCGGATGTTCCCGCAGAGGCATCTCTATTTTGGCACGGCCGCTGGCTCGTCTGTCTGGACTCGCCCCCAACACGCTAAACCTTGAACTTCTCATCCGCTTCTCCGTCCTTCCCCCCCGCGTTTCCCCTCCCTCGGCGTGCCGGACGGCGTGAAGGCTGCCCGCTGACTGGGCCGGCGCCTGGCCGCTTTGCCGATGCCGCCGCCGTCGGCTCGTTTGTCGTCGTCGTCGTCGACGCCGCCGCCGCCGTCGTCGTCGTCGTCGTCGTCGGCGGCGGCGTCGTCGTCGTCGTCGTCGATGACGGCGTCGGCGTCGGCGTCGTCGTCTGTTAGGACCCGTTCCCCACGGGATGGAATCGCCACGCTGTGGCCCCCTCGGCGTGGCTGTCCCCTCGCCCCCCGCGCCCGCAGCTCGCGCTGTGCGGGGCGTGCTCGCAGCCCCTGCACGGCGTTTGCATGCGCGCCGCCGCCGCGGTGGACTCGCGGTGCCCTCTGTGCAGGCGCGGTGGTCGTCGTTCGTTATCGTTCGTCGTTCCTCGCTGTTCGTCGTCGTCATCGTCGCCGCCGCCGCCGTCGTCGTCGTCGTCGTCTTCGTCGTCGTCGTCGCCATCTTCCTCGGTCTTCGTCTTTCGTCGTCGTCGGGGACCGATGGTGGAGGATCGGACATCGAGGTTAGAGGATCGAGTTTGGAGGGTCGAAGGTCAAAGGGAGGCAGGTGATGGTGACGATGATGGTGGTGGTAGTAGTGTTGCTGCTGATGGCGATGATCATGAGGAGGTGGGCAGGGAGGAGGTGGGAGAGGAGACTCGGGGAACTGGTATGAGGATGGGGTGGTGACATGGGGTGCGGGGAGGAAACAACAGTGATTCATGTGATGACGTGGAGGGGTGATGATGATGGCGGTGGCGGTGATGGTGATGATGATGACGATGATGATGATGATGATGATGATGATGATGATGATGATGATGATGATGATGATGATGATGATGATGATGATACTGATGATGAGGATGATGAAATTGCTGATGATGATGATGATGCTACTGCTGATGAAGCCGCTGCTGATGATGATGATGATGATGATGATGATGATGTGGATGAGGATGGTCTTGTGTTGGGGACGATCATGACTATGACGACGATTATGTTGATGTTGACGTTGCTTTGATGTCGTTGTTGATGGTGATGATGGTGATGATGATGATGATGATGATGATGATGATGATGATGATAACTGCGACTACGACGACGACTATGGTGATTGTGACGATGATGCCCATGAACTGAGGAGGAGGATGAGGACTAGGATGGGGCGGGCGAGGCGAGGAGCAGGATTACGTGGATGACCAGGCATAATGTGCGATGGTGATGGCTGGTGCATCAGCGGGTGATGATGAGGATTGGAAGGATGACGTGGAGGAGGAGTAGGAGAAGCTTGAGGAGGGCCAGGATGGACAGTGGCAGGAGTGGTCGTAGTAGTAGTAGTAGTAGTAGTAGTAGTAGTAGTAGCAGCAGCAGTAGCAGCAGCAGCAGCAGCAGCAGTAGTCGTAGCCGTATGAGTAGTAGTAGTCGTAGTAGTAGTATTAGTAGTAGTAGTGGTAGTAGTAGTAGTAGTAGTAGTAGTCGTAGTAGTAGTAGTAGTAGTAGTAGTAGTAGTAGTAGTAGTAGTAGTCGTAGAAGTAGAAGTAGAAGTAGTATTAGTAGTAGTAGTAGTAGTTAGTAGTAGGTCGTAGTAGTAAG